GTGTGTGTGTGTGTGTGTGTGTAAAAATGTCTTCTTGGCAGTTCGATTTAATAGTCAAGAAAGAGATGAATGAAAAGACTAAATTAATGAAAAGGGAGAAAAAAGTATATAATGTACAGTAGTATGTAGGCCTATACTGTACAAAGTATGCAAGTTAAGTAACAAAATAATACCTAAATAACCTATTATTAAATTGTACAGTATACAACACAATACAGTGGGTGCAATACTGTATCCCACAATGCAGTGCACATAACGTAACCTTCCATTTTCCAGAAAACTATGCAGCTTGTCACAGTAATGTGACTGCTATCAGTCACCATGAAATGACATTTTACTTTTTTGAGTCACACACACTGAGCAAAAAAATATTTGTGATGACATGAGTGAATGCTTAATTGTTTGCATAATGCAAGTACATCTTATATATCATTAATAAATTGTATTTGAGTTCAGAGAGGTCTAACGCCTCTAACGGGCCTATTATGTTTTGACTTTTCCAGCAGTTTCATTGGATTTCCCACAGAAAAATGATGTAATTCATTGATTAAACCAGCAATGCACATGTGTGCACATGGATACACAGACAGACAGCAGTGGTTTATTGCCTTTCCCAAGAGTTCTGGCATCATTATGTCCTATAAAAGGATCGTTCCCACTGAGACCCCAAGTCTAGCATCTTTTCCTTTCCCGTCTCCCACTGTTCAGCTGGGGATTCTTGACCATGCCTGAAGCATCACCATGGCAACAGTTACAAGTTGGGAGAGACTGTGTCAAGAGAAGGGGATGAGAGTTCAGGGGCCTTGGAGTGCAACCGAGGGCCACAAAACAATGAGCTGTTAATGAGGACTGGAAAATAGGAAGTTTCAGGACCTTATCATTTTGGCATAAGTCATTGATAGAGTGAGAACAATAAAGGCTATCCAAAAGAGTCTACACTGTAGCTCCCCTATTACCACCACCACTAAACTTCACAAAATGTGCATTTTATATGTCCTTTCATCCCAGTTGCATCCTCCTGCTATATATGATCTCTTATCATGTTTAGTAGCTTAAAGGTGCTCAAAGTAATCTTCTCGACCTGTGTTCATTTTACAACTGAAGAAATTAATGATGCTTTAGACAAATCTGTTTAAAATGTTCACTCACATAAGATGGAGCCTTTAGTCAAATCCATGGTTTAGCTGTTTGTTGTACTTAAGAGATGTGTTCATAACCTAAGGTCGAAAATCTGTCCAGACGAAGGCATCTTTGTAGATCGAATGGAACACATACTGTATATTACATTGGTGTTTTTACCCTCTGTAGGTTAGGTTAAGTTAGGTTACTTTATTTATACCCGCAGGTAAATTTGTTTTGCAGTAAAATGACAGTGACTTCCATCCTTGACACACAATTTCAAAACACATTCAGAAAAATAATATAAACACAACAAAATCACAAAAACAACATGTATGTTACCTGTGATGGCAGCATTTTTCAGGTTTTGGACACAGACAAGGGTGCCCTACACTGTAAAAAAAAATCCATAAAATTTACGGTAAAAAAACGGCAGCAGCTGCCATTTTGAGATCACATGAGATCGTATCATTGGACAATTTCAGTCACTGAATAAATTAATAATGGGTGACAAACTTGCCAATAGGGTATTTCTGCAATAGTACTGATAATGAACAATGTTCAGCAAAAATGCTTCATTCGTAATCACAGGCATTTTGGGGGGTAACGCATTACAAGTAACGCGAGTTACGTAATCAGATTACTTTTTTTCCAAGTAACTAGTAAAGTAACGCACTACTTAATTTAGAAGAAAATATCTGAGTTACTTTTTTTAAATAAGTAACAATTAATTTGTTTTCCTATTTATTGACTGACAGCTCTGCTGTCCCCACGTTGAGAGAAATTGGGAATAAATGCAGAAGTGTTGTGTGAACATGATGCTTTCTGTAATCCTAGACTAAATGTGAACATGCATTTACTCGTCTCACTCGCACAGAAAGATTCAGTATTCCTCAAAATGAATAAAAACAGTGAAATTCAAACTCAGAATATGACGCAAACCTGCAATAATTAAATGTTAAATACAAATTTCCTTTAATCTCATTTTATTAACCAGTATCTTTGCTGCTGACCTTCGATGATCTAATTCAACTATATAATGAGCAAAAATGACTTTAGGTAAACAACATTTGTGTTTCATTTCTTTTTTTTTTAAACTGCTGAAGAGTGTTGAACTTTCTTCTCTTATGTCCTATTCTGCATGCAACCCAGAATGGCAGCACAGCTGAAAGGTTTGTTTGAGCTGCACCCTCTACAGATATTACATTACATCTCTTTCAGCCTGAGGCTCATTCATTTCACTTTTGGTACGAAAGGGCTTTTAAAGTGACGTGTAGCCAAGTATGGTGTCCCATACTCGGAATTTGTGCTCTGCATTTAACCCATCCAAGTGCACACACACACACAGCAGTGAGTAGTGAACACGAAAACACACACACAGTGCTGGACGAGACTCTCCTGACAGTTTCCATCAAAGTCCTGAAATGGGAAACTCGCGGTGACCTGAATCAGCGAAGAGCTCTGAAAGTAGCAGTCATTCGGCTCGGATCCATTACAGTTCCCTGCACACGGTCAATTCTGGGCAGACCCAATGAATGGCTCCTTTATTTACTGGCATTCTGCAGGTTGAGTTGACCGTTGACACAAAAAACCTTGACATCCAGCAACTAAAGTCCTTCTCGTGTATTAAATTAGTTTACGACATGTCATAATAAACGCAGAGATAACATCATCAAGCTGCTACTCCGAGTACCAGATATTATCTCCACATGGGTTGGGCAGCCGGTTTGGGAATTTTAGGCCCTGGGATTCTGGTGCCTGGGGTCTTGGTTGTCTTGGCTTTGGCTGCACTTATGATGGCTGTTCGGATTGTCTTTGCAGTTGTAGCAGCGGTGGGAGAGTGTATGGTGTGGAGAGTCTGGTATTCAGAGTTGGGCGCAAGCCGTTTGGACACACGAAGTGGCGAGCCCCTTACAAACTGCTCACGATGCTTGTCCTTATGCTGGTTCAACTTCTCAGTAGCGTTACCTTTTTGTTTCCCCGTATCACATGGTGCATTTAGCTTCTGGGGTGCACTACCGCTGCGTTTCAGTTCATTTTGAACGCCAGCGAAGCGCGTCGCTAGCGGTGTGTGAATGGACTTGGGGTGTGTAGGGGAAGGACGCGACACCTCACTAGCTGACAAGCCGTCGGCAGGAGTTAGTTCTGCCTTTGTGCGCACGCTTGGGATCCCGCTGCTGTTGGAGGGCCCTCCCCGTTGTACCAGCAGTCTTTTGGTTGGTCCTCGAGTAGGTGTCTTTACCAGACGGGAATCATCCTTGGCATGCAGTGAGTTTGCACCATCTCGCTCCTCGGCTTCCCGCTCTTTCTTCCATTTGGAGCAGTGATTGGTGGTCGGCCGCGTCACGGTTGGAGAAAGGCTCTCGTAGGAGCGTAGGGCACTCACTAGGGTGTGGCACTCCAGCGTCTCTCCAATCCCCGGGTAAACGTGCTCTCTTTCTGGGCTACAGGGCTCCTGGGATAGAGGAGGAGAAGATGCACTTGGCCACGTCTCTCCTAACAGACTAGTGGCTGTTTTGGCTTCTGTCTGTGGTGTTACTCCCTCTTTGCCATTTACACACTCTTTATTCTTAGCATCCGCCGAGGTATCGGTCTCTATCTGCGTCAGCCTTTCAGAGGCGTCTTGAACCAGTTTCTCAACTTTCAAAACTTTGTTAGGGGATAGTCCTGTGAGCGGCAAGACATTCACTGCCCCCTGCTGATGTGACGTGATACTTGTTTTTCCCAAAGCAACAAAAGTGTTATCGCTGGGGACTGTCCTTGTATTCAACCTAGAATGGCTTTTCACAGCGTTTGAGGAAGCCATTGCATCTCGTTGCAGGTCACACGTCGAATCTGTGCTTAAACGCAGAACTTGTTTGAACTTATTTATCCCTTGTTTAGTTGCCTCGGAGTCTGCATCACTCTTCTGTAGTGAATGCCTAAGCTCTGATTCTCTGCAGAGATTGAGAACATGACGGTTTCCACCCTCTGATTCGCAGTGCTGTTGGTTATTAGATTTCATATTTCTCTCGCCGGAGCGGAGGAAGTACTGCGAGAGCCTGCGCAGGCTGCGGCGGCTCCCCGTGTAACTCAAGCTCCTCTGCAGCGCGTGCTCCAGCTCAGAAGACTCCCACTCCACTTCCAGTCCGGTGCACAGAGCCAGAGATCGACGCCTTTCCACATTCTCACGCTCACGTGCCAAACGCCGCTGCTCTTGTAATTCCCTCTCTGTGTTCTCCTGTTAGGAAACAAATATGAACAAATCATGAATGTGTGATCTTCATTTCCATAAATCAGTTTAAACCAGCCATTTTAATGAACTGATTCACATATTTATGTCATCACTTAAAATGTTCATGGAAGCCACTGGACATTTTTCCATGTATTAAAAAAAAATACATGGTGTATATTATACAAGTAAATATAGTGTATATTACCGCATACAGTTGGTGGATATTAACAAAAATGTCTACATTTTATTAAGTGCCTTTATTTTTGCCTATTTACATGCTTTTTATTGCCATTGTCCGTAACTAGCTTTTTACTATATATGTGACCTTGCACCACGAAACCAGTCTTAAGTGTCAATTTTTTGAAATTGAGATTTATAAATCATCTGGAAGCTGAATAAATAAGCTTTCCATTGATGTATGGTTTGTTAGGATAGGACAATATTTGGCCGAGATACAACAAAATCTGGAATCTGAGGGTGCAAAAAAATCAAAATATTGAGAAAATCGCCTTTAAAGTTGTCATGTATTTTTGGCTATTGCTAGAAATATACCCGTGCCACTTAAGACTGCTTTTGTGCTCCAGGGTCACATATTTTACTTTGTAAAAAAAAAAACTACACATTCAAAATGTTCAATTTAATGTTTAATGTTTGAATGACTGTTTGGTTGAAATTATTCAAAATAAAAAATCTTGCCATATGATTGGGATTCACAGATCAAATAAAGTTGATGTTTTCCTGTTGTTTAGTAGAGAAAATGTATATTTTCAATAACATTACCAAGCTATCCAAACAATTAAGCATCAGTTAAGTGGTTGCTATGAGTCACATTTACATGAAAAATATTTTTGTAAGAACAGACTTTCAGATTAAGACTTTTGCAGCTCTAGCGTCAGGCAAGTACTTTGGACATTTTTAACTTTATTTGGTTGTTGTAATTTAAAGAGACAGTGCAGTCAACATGATGCTGCTCACCAGCACGGCTCTTTGGAAACGATGGCAGAAGCAATGGAAGATATAACAGGCCTCCTCCAGTTTAAAGGACTTGTCATCTTCACAGAAGAAATCCACAAGTGCCTTACTGGTCCTCTGTAAGCTTTCCAGCTCATCCCGAGCTTCCTGCAGCCTCACTCCCACAACCTGAACGAAGACATGATGAACTTACAAGACACTTCAACATCTGTGAATGGGATCTTGACATTAATAGGAACGAACCTCTAGAAATGCTCTGGTCTGCTGCTCGATTTCAGCATCAGCCTGAGCTCTGACTCGGAGTTCAGCGACTCTGCTTCGTAGTCGAGAAAGATCCTCCACCACAGACTCTTCTGACAGCCTGAGCAGAAGAAGAAAAACAACAACAAAACGACTTTTAGCGATTTAAGTTTTCTTTCTAACATTAACCACTGAGGAACATGATGTCCTAAGTGCAATGTTTGTGAAAATATTTTTAAAAAAAGAGAAGCAATTTCACAAAACCCATGAAAACTGTGTCAGCAAAAAAATTAATAAAAATGAGAAGTGGAGAAGATGTCACAAAAATCAAAGCCTATTTTTAAATCATTATTTTCTACATTTCTCCAGATTTTCTTCATTAATGTAAAATATTCTTTCGATTTTGGGATGAAATGTGACTTAGTCATGATCCACTGATATTCTACCGGATTGGGAGCTTGGGGAATTTTAACACGGTTTGTTTGCATCCTGACCTTGAAGCTGGACCGACGTGACTCAAGCGGCTGGGAAACATCAGCAAGTCTTTATCCTTCTTCACAGCCTCCTGTAAGTGAGAAAAAAAACTCATACAAAATTTGATTCAGTCCTACTGATTCCATTCAATCACAATAACCACAGCAGCTTTGTTTACGTTAATTTAATCTATTAAAGCATGGCTCGTTACACGTTTACCAGTGACACTTACCATGCCGACAAAATGGAGGAGGTTCATGCCTGGTTTGTTGGCTTTGGTGTCGGCCAATTTGAGTAAAGAGGAAATCCTGAATCCTGCAGCATTCCCAGCATAACCTCCCTGAGAGCACAAGAGACCTCAGACTGACTTCCTACCAGGAGATACGTTTTGATGCATAAGCGTCAGATAAAACACTTACGGCGTTCATGTAGTTTCCCGCCTTGAGCACCAGTCGTAGGATGTAGTGCAGCTCCGGGCAGCTCAGCAGCTCTGCACAAACAACACATGAGCGTCAACCACATCAATGAAACCCTCCATCAGGATCCACTTACACCATCAAACACCAGAACAAAACTCCATGAACGGCTGAGCACAAGATACTTTGTGGCTCGCACCTAAACTTAATTTAGGAGGTGAGCTAGAGCTTTCAGGTCCACACAAATCTAGAGAGAGGAAGTTTTTACCTCGAGCCGCCTCCCGCAGACATCTGGCCGCCACACAGAGAGAGGTCACCGCAGGGTCAAACTCCTGCTGGAGGATCATGACGTCCAGACGCATGCGAAAGCTAGTGAGGATGATGATGATGATGAGCGGACAGTGAAAGAAACTATGACGCATTTATATTGGAGCATTTAGTCGTGAACTCTTACCTGGGTAACTCCACCAGCGAGAGAATGAAGAGATCCGGCTCTGCCAGTAAACTACGGTCACCGCTGAACTTTTTCAATCTGGCCTCCTGGACAAAAAGAAACACAAATACAAAGTAGATCTATATGTGATGATGAATACCGCACAGTGTATACTAGGATTGCACAGTATACCGGTAATAGGGTAGTATAGATACTAAAGGCAGTGCCAGTATTAGTTTCACTGGTTGTCAACTTTGGTTGCCTGATTGGAGTGGGATTTTGATGATATGGAGTGAATAAATCACACACCACTATTTGAGGTTCCAACAGGATCCAACTATTCATTTTTAATTTCTTTAATACTGTAATTTGCTCATTTTCTTCCTGTAAGGTCTTCAAGATCCCATTAGTCTTAATTATATAAAGTTTGTATAAACACTCAATTACTGCACTTATTTCTCTTCTGAGCTCCGTCTGTTTCATGCATGTCTTTGAATTTAAAGGCTACTCTCTTGCAGTTAGCACAAACTATTTGTAAACAGGCGTACAAGAGTAATAGAATAGAAGTTATGTGCTTTTAATATACATAGAGGCGTTTTCTTTACTGTAACTGAAAGATTGCTTCTGCCACAGCGCACATATTCAACTAATCGACATTTAGCACCTGCCAGAGTGGCTGGTGCATCTCTGAGTATTTCTGTTTTCATTTATATAAACTCAGCAAAAAAAGAAATGTCCCTTTTTCAGGATCCTGTATTTTAAAGATCCAAATAAACTTTACAGATGCACATGCACCTGTGGAACAGCTCGTAAGACACTTACGGTTTACAGGTGGCAAGCAATTAAGAGGACAGTAATATCTTAGGACCTTAAAGAGACCTTTCTACTGAAAAGCACGGGAGGAAAGATGCCCAAGGTCCAGGTGAACATGCCAAGTCCTCTGCTGCAGGAGGCATGAGGACTGAAGATGTGGCCAGAGCTATAAAACGGACATCACTTTGACATAGTCACGTCTGATGAATTGCTCTTAATTGTAATATAGAAACATTCTTTTTCTGTGAAGCCGCTTTGCAACGATGTGTATCATGAAAAGCGCCATACAAATAAATGTGAAATGAAATTGAATCGAATAAACTGTAATGTGCATAATGTAAGACGCACAAGAATATAAATAGGCCTGGGCGATAAAACGGTATCGATATTTATCGACGGTACACCTTCTTCGATAATGATATAAAAAATGTTCGATATAGCGCACGATATAGGCACGTGCTCTGAGTGACGCAGACCGCACACACAAACATGAACACATGCTGAAATGAGTGCTGTGCCTGCCTGTGATGAGGAGATTGTGAATAAGGAATAAATAAACATTTGCATTTGAATGTAAGGTGTGCATCAGGGAGCGTCATCAGTGGCGCACGAGATGCGGTGATAATGATGTAAGTGACGTTGTTGCATTTTAATGTTTTGTTAGTCTAGCCCACGAGACGCGCCGCTGCTGCGTTATTCATTCAAAATATTAGAGAAATATAGAATTAGACGGACAAATATGACTGCTGCACTCGTGTCACACAAGAGATGTAGCCATGCAAAGTTAAAACAGTTTACACTTTTAGAAAACACGTCACGAATTTGTGGAGGTTTATTCCTTTTGACTGTGTGTCATATGTTTTTAAAGGCAATCTGCGTGATGGGCGATTCGGCTCTTTGGATTAAGCAATGCATAAATACATGATGCTGTTTTGTTCATAATTGTTTATGCAATTTACGAAATTATATTTGATTTATACGAGTTAATTTAGATGTAATGCAGGTTTTTTTATAGACAGTTATTTCCTTGCGTTGACGATTTAAATGTGCTGCATTATTTTGCTCATTGCGCCCTCCAGTGGCCTCGGGAGACAAACCAAAAGTTTCCTTCAGACCTATTTAATCTGCATATAAAACATAGATATTTGTTTAATTTTTATTGTGTTTGGCTGTTAAAACAAAAAATATTTGTTGTTTGTCTCAATAAATTTGGTTAATTTAAAAATACAGTGGTTAAATTTAAGCATTTTTTCTGTTGCTCTTTGTTTTAAAAAAGTTTATAAAAAATTTCAATAATTATCGACACCGAATGATATGAAACACTATCGTTGATAAATTTTTTTAACTATATCGCCCAGCCCTAAATATAAATATCTTGATGGAAGAGTGGAATAACATCTCACAGCAAGAACGGTCAGATCCGGTGCAGTTTACGAGGATGAGATGCACTGTAGCACTGAAAGCAGCTGCTAAACATACAAGACACTCACTGCAACTTTAAATATTGGCCCCTCTTTGTTCAGGGACTCTTTCAGTTTGTCACATGCCTGTCAAACTTGTTCAGTTTGTCTCAGTGGTTTAAATGATGTTAAAACAAACATTTACACATGATAAGAAATTAGCAGGAAATAAAAATAGTTGAATTTGAGAGGACATTTCTTTTTTTGCAGAGTTTAAAGTAAATTTGGTTTAATTTGAATATGTACTGAATATCTGAATTGTGAATTGATATGAAACACTATCGTTGATAAATTTTTTAACTATATTTTATATATAGTTTATATATAATTTGAATATGTACTGAATATCTGAATTGTGAATTAACACTATTGTGTGGTACCATGCAATTTTGTATAGTATCACTATATATGTTTATGGTATCATGACAACCCAAAATTCACTTTTTCCTCTCAAAAGTAAGTGAAACAACATCCAGTTATAATTCTAGAAAAAAGTGTTTTAATCCAGTTTTGGTAATTTTGTTTTTAAACATTTCTCTAGACTTCCCTAGAGTGCACTGCATTGTGCGACACAGGATTCTATACGGTGTGCTGCACATTTTTCACCCAGCTCTTCTATATAATGGCAAGTACACACTGTATTCTCAGCAGTGCTGCAAGGGGCTATAGCAGGCAATAAGGCCCTGATATACTCTCTGTGAAGTTCTTCATTCAGCGGTAAAAAGAAATTCGAAATAGCTGCATAATGGTATACTGTTAGCAAACAATCTGATACCATGCACGCAGCTGGAAGCGCCATTTAGATGAGTGTAAATGTGTGCTGCATACCATGCTCTCAATTACACAACATAAATGACAGTTTCTGATAATCAGAAACTGTAACAGGAGATCATGCAGAGTAAACAGAAGATTTCAAACAAGCAGCATCACGTCTAATTCCTTCTAATATGAACCAGACTGAAGCGTGAAAGGACAGACGTGTCGGTTTCTGTGAAGCGTGGTGTCAGAGAGGATACAATACCTCTTCATTATCAGGCAGCAGCTTGCAGAGTTCTGCCAGTTTCTCGGCTCCGTAACGCTCTCCGACCCCTCGTCTCACATCCTCCACAATCTCCCTAGCAGCACTGAGGGAAGAGCAAACACTGAGAATTACATCACTTTCAAGCAAACAAAAAAAAAATTATTTCAACAAAAATTACCTTGCCACTTAGTTTGAAAAAGTGTTTTTAGTACTTCAATTTAAACTAAACTAAAAAAGTTTTTTTTTTATTGCAAGACCAGTGCAATACCAGTGTACCAGTGTTATTAACAATAATAACACTGGTACACATGTATGCAATTACAATGGGCGTTATGGGGCAAGTGTCCCTTTCTGTTTTGGTGTCTATATAGTGTGAAAATGAATAGTGCATACTATAGATGGACAGAGAAAGGTCAGAGAGTGATTTTAACACACTAACATTCATATTGTTTACATTTTGTGGTAATGCATGTAAAATACTGTTTTTTTTAACATTTCACCAGTGCAACATCTTGCCCCCAGACTTTCATTATAAATGAAAAACTTTTTTGTATCTGGACAGAGTTTTGAATCTGGTCCCGTTGATCATATTTGCTAGTCAATCCAGCTTCACTTGGTTCCTCAGGCCAGAGGAAAGGAAGGACACACACACACACACAGCTGGTTCTTTTGCTTGCATCAAAAGAAGCTTAACAAGACCACACTGGTTTCTGTTTTTTTTCTTTTTTATGACCTAATTGTTAATATCAGAGAATACTGAAGGCTCTTGCGGGTTCCTCATTGAGTGCAAAATGAAAAAATGAAAAGGTACGTGGGTCTACGGCAACAAAGACCTGCTATGGCCACGGCTGAGCATAATTCATACTACTACACTTCAAAAGTGTACGCTTACACACACAGGGAAGTGTGTTTGTCTGCATAAGCACTTCTCCGTAATTCCTCCACATGTTCTGACAGATATCAGTCCCATGGAAGAGCTTTTCAAACTTAAATGGGCACTGCTGCACCCATATATTTACTCAGCAAGCAAGTGCGGACATGAAAAAACAACCCTTTTTCATAAAACAAAGACCAATGCATTGAAAGGGAAAAATAATGATTATTTATGGCTTATGATTTTCTTGTATGAGCTGCTTTCACTCTGTAACACTGGAATGGATCACATTTCACTGGAAACACCTGAATCGAAATTGACATTTAATCTTCGTGCAAATTTTGGAAAGCCACTGCAGAGATCAGGTTCCATTTCTCATCACGGCTCATTTGACCAAAAAGCAGGTGTGACCTTTGACCACGTTCTACACTTACTCAATTTTTTGTAGATAAATGTCCAAATATCGTCTTTCAATTGGCCTGGCTGATATATACCGTTCATAACTAGTTAAAATTAAACCAAAACTTACATTTTCAACTGCCGCAGAAATATCCCAACATTCATGCTGCGTTTTGAATCAAGCAGCGTAACCTGCAAATACAATTTAACGTAATCAGCACACAAACTCAGACAATTTTGCAAAAGTGACCTCTTAGTTTAAATGAAACAATATAAGTTGTTTAAAAGTCTTCACTAACCATGCTGTAAATATCGGGGGGGAATGATGCAGCTTATAAGTTTTGCAAAGCATCCATTGCCTTCAACAGTAAGTTAAGACAATAGTTTCTGAACAATTTAACTTTATCAAAAAAAAAAACACAAAAAAAAAAAAGAGGAAAATTTTGCAAAAAGTCAATTGACTTTAACAATAAATTAACACAATTACAGCAAATATTTTTTAATTGAACACATATAGATGGCAGTCTTTAGCATTGCGTCTTGCCGTTTTTCAGCATCTTGAGCCATAAGCTGTGAAATTAAAAGTTTAACTTTTATAAATCTCTAATCTATTCTATTCTAGTGCTCCATTCAGCTGCTTATGAACACAAAAATGTCCTGTGTCTGAAAGTTATCTGATGGTCATGACCTTAAAGCAACACAGGGCTTTCATAAGACCAACAAGTTCATGTTAAAAATATGTAGTTTTGTGCATCCTTAGCTCCATCCATGTGTTGGATCCATGTGTTGGATAATGAAAAAGCGTGCTCTTACTTTGTCCACACTCGTCTCTTGTGGAGACCCGCACTGCCGTAAACTACGCCGGAAGCCGCTGACCCGGTCGGGCTTGTCAGCCTCTTTTTGCCCAAAGAGCTCATCCAGAGAGTTCAGGTCAATGGAGAGCTCGCAGTCCTCATCCAGAGAGCCGGTCCAGACGCTCTTACGGCCCTCCACACGCTCTTTGGGGATCCGCTCCCAGTTGAGGTTGCGAAGCCGGCGTTTGCGTCCAGAGTCGGCTCGGGTCAGACCGCT